GGGCGGCAGGGGTGTGGAACTGATATCTCCCGATGCCCGGGCAGGTAGTTGTTTTCTACATTTAGCCCCGCTTTGTGCAAGCAGAGCCAAATGTAAAGCGGTGAAGCCGCGGCTTGTTTTGTAATGATGCAGCCTGCAGGTCTGCCATTCTCCATGGTGGGGGGGCGCATTGAGGAACCTGGCCTTGGGGCAGCAGAGAGAGTAGATCCGGCCCAGAACGCTGGGAAGTTTTGCCTCTCCTCACCCCTAGCTTGTGAGTGAACAGCGACAGTGACAGACGACAGACTAATGCGCTCATCACTCTGTCACTCTGCTTTCTCCTTCTATCAGCAGGGTCACCTGAAAAAACAGCTATCCCAGTGCTCTCAGTGGGTGAGGTACTCGCAACCAGGGACACCTGTATGGGGCGTAGGAGTTGCCCTATAAATATTGTTCTTCCCTGCTCTATCCAAAAACAAAATGTGATGAATAATAACTAATGACAGGTCCTCTTTCTATAACCCGCGGTATGGAAGCAGCGGAGACGTTCTCCTGACATTTGTAACATTCGCAGAGCTCAGGCAGAGATTGTTACTGACATTGCGCGGGGAATGAGGAACCATGATAGGCACTGATCTGGCTCTGGGGTTTCCTGTATAAAAGTGTTACATAAACACTTGTAGCGGGTCACATGATCCACGTGCGGCGCCTATCCACAGAACCTCATTAAATGTCGCCAGGGAGCCGAGCCGGAGAGAGACGTTTACACAGCCAAGACGCAGAAGGGAAGAAGCCAGGTCTGCGTTTTCTCCTCTACATCTACATGAGGCTGCCGCTTTGCCTTTTACGCGGTCCATGGATTAATCGGCGACTTTTAATCCGCCAATAAATTACAAATCCGGCATAACACTGGGAGCTTGCTGCGAAATGTTTCCTTGTAAGTAAAAAGAGTTGATGTTTTATAAGATCAGCGGCCCACTGTGCACGGTGAGGGTACAACTGGTGGGGTTCATAAATATTAGAATTCGCGCTTGTGGATGCCCCCCCCTTTTTTATTTATAAATAAACGACAGCTGCAGCGAAAGACCAACAAAGCAGAAAGCAATATGGCCACAAGAGTGCTAAAACAATACACCGCGCTATCTCCCCTTCTTGTGAAACAATTTAATATGACCCCTAAATCTCCAAATAAACCATAAAACAACCCCAAAACACACCTATGTGTGTATACCACCGTATATCAAGCGTGCGCATAAAGTACAATAGGAAAGGCTGTGACACACTGCACGTGAAGCAGCGCGGCGCGGTGGCGCGCTGCCTGCCGAGCAGTGTGTCATGTCACTTTCTTCTCGGCACCTCAGCTTGTGAGAGCTCGCAGAGCTGAGCGTGCCGAGATGAACAATTTCAACTTCAGCCAATCGGCTTGCGCGTATAAACCGGCGCGACGGGATGCGACGTCTGGCCGGTTGTTACAGACGAGCCGATTGGCTGAAGGTGCAGTCTGACTGCACTCAGCTCACACACTGCACGCGAAGCTCCGTGCCGGAGAGCTTTGCTTCGCTCTGCACGGCTTTGCGTGCAGTGTGTCACGGCCATTATAGTGCAAAAATATTAAACAATGTGAAATAATGTGTGACTCATTAATATTCGAAGATATGCAAATCAATCAGCATAAATCATCAAACAATGTCAATAGTGTGTACATAAATAAAGGATGATCAATAATATATATTATCATTATTATTATACAGGATTCATATAGCGCCAATAGTTTGCGCAGCGCTTCACAATGTAAGGAAGACATTACAATCACAATACAATTTAAGACAAGATGGTGAGGAGGGCCCTGCCCGTGAGGGCTTACAATCTAAAAGGGAGGGGCAAGTGATACATGAGGAAGTAGCTGCGCGGGGATGATTGTTTGAGAAAGTGATTGTTCAGTGGTTAGGGTGAGGTGCAGTATATATATAACATAAATAAATAACTAAAGTACATATAAATTACAAAACTTTATCCGATCCTCACAGGACAAAGATGACTCGTGATCAGTTCAAACAGTGATGAAAAAATGCATATGTGTAATCCTATAATCCCACTCCGAAGAAAAAAACAATGCTCCCCACTCACCAGATTCAAATGGTCAAATCGCACTGATCACAGGACGCTACTTTCCCCAACAAGTGATGGCTTCCAACAAGTCATGGCTTCCAACAAGTCATGGCTTCCAACAAGTCATGGCTTCCAACAAGTCATGCCTTCCAACAAGTCATGGCTTCCAACAAGTCATGGCTTCCAACAAGTGATGTCTTCCAACAAGTGATGGCTTCCAACACCAACAAGTCATGGCTTCCAACAAGTCATGCCTTCCAACAAGTCATGGCTTCCAACAAGTCATGGCTTCCAACAAGTGATGTCTTCCAACAAGTGATGGCTTCCAACAAGTGATGGCTACGAATTAATAAAACGGTCTCCTCCTCACTTCTCATACAAATGGATCGTAGCCGGGATTTTAGCTCACCGCGTACTTTATGTGCACGTTTGATATACGGTGGTATACACACATAGGTGTGTTTTGGGGTTGTTTTATGGTTTACTTGGAGATTTAGGGGTTAATTGTTTCACAATAAGGGGAGATAGCGCGGTGTATTGTTTTAGCACAACTGGTGGGGTGTCGAGGAGTATAATACAAAGGTGAGAATCCTCTATACTGAGTGTTCCTGTTCATTCATAACATGAGGACAGAGTGTGTTTACTATAACCACAATCATGAATGAACAGGAGGGGATATAGATGACTTCCCATTCATTCATAATTGAGGATATAGTAACCATACTCTGTCCTCAATTATCTACAAACACTCACTGATCACTGACTGCTTGTACCTTGCTCTCCTCTCTAACACCTGTCACAGGAGGCTGAGCGAGCGGTGCAGGGAGGAGAGTCCATCCTCCTGTGACAGCGCTGTCTCCACCCCCACACCGCTCTGCCGGACTGTGATAGAAGGCTGAGCGGTGAAGGGAGGAGAAACGCCGGCCGCTCACAGCGCTCTCCTCCCGCAGAAGTCGGCCGTCTGTCACACTTTCTCTCCTCTTCGCTGGGACACAGAGCAGCGCCCAGCGGGGAGGAAAGAAATCAGGGATGCGCCGATATATCGGCATTAAGCCAAAAGTGCAATTTTCGGCCGAAATGGCTCAGACATATCCCCTGCTGTCCCCACACCGAATCAGCTTCATCGAATCCAAGCATGGATTTACCAAGGTTTATTAAAGGGGAGCTCCGCTAGAAATGCTCAGTGCGGTCAGGTGAGGTGCTGAGTTTGGTCAGGTGATGCTCTGAGTGTGGTCAGGTGAGGAGCTGAGTGCGGTCCAATGAGAAGCTGAGAGCGGCCAGGCAAGGAGCTGAGTGCGGTCAGGTGAAGCTATGAGTCCGGTCAGGTTAGGAGCTGAGTGCAGTCCAATGAGGAACTGAGAGCGGTCAGACAAGGAGCTGAGTGCGGTCAGGTGAGGAGCTGAGTGGGGTCAGGTGAGGAGCTGAGAGCAGTCAGGTGAGGAGCAGAGTGCGGTCAAGTGAGGCGCTGAGAGTTCACCATCACTCCCGCGCTCACCATCACTCCCATCGGCCCATCTTCCCCCTCCATAGTGTCTGATGGTCAGATCTGTATATGGATGTGTACAGGACATTCACAAGAGCAGCCGGTGAAGAAAACGAAGCCGTATCACTTTGAAGTGTCACCGTGTTCAGACAATTCCGATTTTTCATCTTATCTTTTATTTTTTTTCTAACTATTAAACTTTCTACTGAAGCCAAAACTTGTTTTTCTTAGTTGTGGATGGGATGTGGAGGGGGATTAGAACAGGTTTTTATTGCTGTCTGTGTCCCCGTTAGGAAGATTCACCCTCTCTGTCCTGGTGAATGTTATCACTGAAAGTGAAAGAAAATCCGAAATTTTGGGTTATCATCCGGAATAGGAATAGATGGAAAATCTTCCAAATGGGGACCCTGCTGACTATCAGAGATATTCCTCACTATGGAGGGATTTCCTCTCACTTCCTGTTGTGGATATCAGACAGGTAGTGAAGGGAAATCTCGCCTATGGGACACAGGTAGCAAAAAAAGTTGAAGGGGAGGAACCGGGGTTATAACCCTCTTTTACTCTATCCAGAACTAAAAAGAAAAAGTTTTAGCTTTAGTTCTACTTTAAGAAATCTGTGCTCAATGCTCGTGGCTCATACATCCCCGGGCCTGCATGTTGCCAGTTGTAGTGCCTGTGCCCAGCATTTCCCTCATCTTCTTAATGTGCATCTACACTCCAAAAATTATTATTATTATTATTTTTCCCCAATGCACCATAACACCATCCAATGTCTATTTTTGTTGCTGTTGTATGGATGTGTGTTGGGGTTCTATTGGAAAGGAATCGGTGTACCTCTTAAATGCACATTGAGTGCTCATGTTGCGTGAAAACATGGCGTGTGAGAATTTACTCCTACCATTCTGCAGTTTTTTTTTGGGGCCTTTTTCCGTAAAAAAAGCCTTTTTCCTTAAAAAAAAAAAGTGATAATAATAACAATAATAATAAAATAGAAGTAAAAACGTCTAATAAAAAAAGAATAATAATGACACCAATATTAACAACAATAATAATAGTAATAATAAAATAGCAATAAAAATGTGTAATAAAAAATATTAACAGCAATAATAATAATGTTATGCATTTCCCCCAGTTGTCCAGCAGGTGTCGCTGTGTCCCAGTAAAGGGTTAATTCCCCCATACCCAGGGGTACTGTACAGCTCAGCCGTTGAAACTTCTCTTCTCTTCCAGACCACATCTCCCAGAATGCCTCTCTCCCCTTTCCTGTATCTGTCCTGCCGCCCGGAGGATTCTGGGATTTGTAGCCCCCCTCTCCGCTCCACCCAAGCGTACACAGGGCAGCGATGAACTACATCTCCCGGCTTGGGCCGTGGCGGCGACTCTCCGGCTCCCCCGAGTGGTGGGAGTTGGCAGTGTAGGCGCTGTCCAGTGTACGGGGAGAAGAGGACGGAGGTGTCAGGTAAGGGGCGAAGCTGGGAAGTAATTTTGCTGCACCTTTTTTTTAATTTTTAGCAGTGGTGGGGTGCTGGAAAGAAAAAGTAGCCGGGGTGAAATAGTTACTGGGGACTGAACGAGGAGGGGAGAAATGATTGCATAGGGCTAGGTGGGACTCTGGCAGTAAACCATGTGGGGGGGGGAGCAGATGATCGGAGGGGACAGGGATGAGTTATTACGGAGTACAGGAGGGCAGACAGGCGAGGGATGGGTTAATAGGTGCTGGTAGGGGCATAATGGGTTAAATAGTGATGTCTGCGGATTAATGAGTGAATAAGTGTTGGCAGAGGAATGATGGGTGAATAAGTGTTGAGAGAAGTTTAATGGGTTATTAAGTGCTGTCTTGTAATAATGGGTTAATAAGTGTTAAGAAGGGTTTAATGGTTACCAAGTTCTGTTGAGAGAGTGATGGGTCAATGGGAACCTGAGCAGGCAGGTATGGGTAAGGGAGGGGACTCTGGAGAGGGAGGAATGAGTTAATCATGATGGTGATGTTCAGAAATAATTTGGTTGATAACTAGCGGCATTAGCCCCCTAATAAGTGTTGTTGGGGCGGGAATGAGGACTGGAGGTAGAATGAGTTGATATTGTGGGAAGCGGAGGAACTGGTGAATGAATGACCAGGTGATGGAGAAAGTTAACGTACCCCGGGGGGACGAGGAAGGGGTTAACCTCTCCCTGTCGGTGCAAAAAGGGTTAAAGGCGCTGCCTCCACACACCCTGTAATTGTGTATTTCGCCACCTCCAGCTATAAATGATTAGTCTCCAGCTATAAATGATTAGGATGTACATTGTATCTATACGCTGCCTGGAATAGATGTGTTACGTACCTTCTGGGAGACCGGATGTGAGAGGAGGCTTCCCCTGCACCTTGTTTCCTGGGAGACTCTGAGGATGGGAACAGAGCCCAGCGGGACAACAAGTGGCAGGAGTGCCAGTGGTGTTGAGCACCGTGCAAGCCGTAATCCAATGGGCAATCCGAGGTCAGGTTCCAAGCGGGCAATTCCAGTACAAAAGGGGTCAGGCAGAAGAATGGTCAAATAACTGATCCGTGGTCAAGGCAGGCAGAATTCAAGGTTTGTCTAGGAAGTCCGGGTCACAAGGATCAAGCAAGATATCAACAAACTGGAACAAGGATTAGCTGACAATAAACCAGCAACATGGTGGTACTGCTGCTGGGTTTATATAGGGCCAGTGATGTCATTTCCTGTGCGCCATCATGGCAGATTTTCATGCTGATGGATTACTGCTTCTGCGCATTCGCGGGATGGCGCATCTTCTTCCGCGCATGTTACTGTTTCTGCTCATGCGCGGGATGGCGCGTTCCCGAGCAGCACGGGAACGTACAGGCCGCACATGCGCAGATGGCGGGGATCCATTACAAGATGTGCCAGCTGCAGCCACTAATGCCAACCCATCAGATGTCAGTTCTGCTAATATTACATTATCTGTGTTCTCATTGGCTGCCAGGCTGGTGGAAAGATTGAGAAGGGTGACTCTGTAAACATTGCTATCACCAGTGACCCTGCGGATTTCTATCAGGATTTAGCACGGCATAACCATGAGTGAAAAGCCAGAAATATAGTACAGTTTCCATGCACAGCCTGTCAGCCTTTCTAATAGGCTGCAAAGTAAGCGGGCGAGACAAGGCAGAGATACAATATAGAGCGTATCATTTAGGGGATAAGGGTCAGATATATGGTAAGACTACATAATCAGCATTGTAGCAGTTGGGGTAGGATGCATTTTGAACGGGATGCACCGCATGCAGCATCTACGTATACTGTATATATGTCACAGAAAAAAGGATGAAATATTGTACAAACTACATAGATAGAATTTCAGCAGTTGGAGTAGGCTGTGTGATCAAATTGTCCCACCCATGCCGCTCTTTATGCCAAATATACACAATAAAGTGTATTTTTTCCCTATAAAAAGGAAGACATATTGTGAACAGATCATGGGTCACATAATGGAAGGAATATAGTACACACTGCATGAGCAGAATTGTAATAAATTTATGGAAAGTCTTGTTTCATAAAATCCTGACCCTATTCAGGTCTTTTGAAGACCCCCCCCCCCGGCTAAAATGAAGGAATAATGTACTACTAACTAATGTAATACTGCTTACAATATTGTCGGGATCCACCCTGCTGCCTGATTGTCAGCTGGCTCTGCCCCCCGCCCCCTCCCCTGTCTGTCCCTCCCCCCATGAGCGCAGAGGGGTGAATCCCTGTGGTGAGCAGTGACTGACAGTCACTGCTCTCTTCAGGGAGAAGTCCTTGAGCTGAGCAATCAGCTGTTTGTGATCGTTCAGCTCTAGATCTGTAGAGCCGGCGTGTGATATCTGCATTGTCAGACGCTGGCTCTAAGCATTGGGAAGAGTATATTTTGCTCTCCTAATTCTTCTCCTTTGATTACAAAATGTTTATTTTGATGCATTTTGAACAGGAGAGACAAAGGGCAGCTTTCCATCAAAACATGAACATTAGAGTGCACTGAATCAGCAAAAAATAAGTCTGTAAAACATTTTACTGACTACATGCACAGTATGTAAGCACTCTTACCAGGCTGCAGTGTAATATGGAGTGAGCAGGCAGGTCACTGTTAGATAACACTATTTCAGAGAGACCATAGCCACAAATATTCTGGATTGAGGGAGCAATGGAATAAGCCACAAATAGAAGACAAAGAGCATGATTTAACATGCAGTAAACATTGAGAATGTTAAAGCTGAGGAGTATCTGTGGAAACATTAGGTGTGGCACCTTGACAGTGCAGAAACACAGGAATCCACCGGCAACATTGAGGTGCAAATTAACCCTGCAGAAAAATTGGCCAAATTTGGCAACCTAGGAACACCTATGGAAACATTAGCAGGGTTATTCACAAAAGGGTGAAGAGTTTGGAGAAGGCAGGAGAAGTGACCCATCTAGGACATCTGAACTAGAAAGTGAGCTGAATTGGAGAACTTTTCTAAATCAGCTATGTTGTCCTAGATTGTTCACTTCTCCTGCCTTCTCCAAACTCTTCACCCTTTGTGAATAACCCTGTAGGTGTGGCACCTTGGTAGTACCAGAGCACAATACCAAAACACTGGACTAAAACTATAGTGGTTGCACAAGATGGTACTGCTGGCAGACCTACAGTGGTGCCAGGAGATGGTAATGGTGTCTGGCTAGTAGCGGTAGAAGAAGCTGGTAATGGTGGCAGGATTAGGGAATGGTGGCATGTATTTGTTAGTATCAGCTGCAGGGCTTGGTACTCATTGCTGATCCAGGGCTGGTTCATTTTTATGGAGATTAAATGATCAGCTGTGTCCTGGGGACTGGTGGGCTCTAAATGCCCATTTTGAAAGCACACTGGTCTCAGGGCAGCCCAGCAGCTCTTTTGCATACTGAGCAGGCTCTGGCCAGTGGTCCATCCGCATTACCAAAAAGTCAAGGGGGGTCATCCATTCTGGGGGTGCCACATCTGCCCCTTGACCCCATATAATCAGAGGTCATATGCTGAATATACCCGCTAATTCCAGACAGGGCTGGGTGCTGCATACTAGAAAAGGACTTGAAAGCTTGCCACCTCCGCCATTGCTCCTACTTCCACTGACCAGGCAGTGCACCATGAATGAGTCCTTGATATCGCTGAGGACAACTGTATAATCAGCTATTGCCCCCCACCCAGATACAACTCCCAGAGCTTGGAAGGGGTTGCTGGAAGCCTGCCCCATGTTGTCCTCTTCCTCCTCCACAGTATCTCCCCAACCCTCCTCCTCCTTGTGCTGCTATGTATTCAGTACCTATTTGCAGATTGATCCAACAGAATTACCACAGGGATTGCATTGCTGATCCCCAACTCATCACGGCTCACCATTCTGGTTGCCTCTTCAGATTGTGAGATTGTGACAGCACAGTACATGTGACCTAAATGAGGAGGCACTGGCATGGTGAAAAAAAAAACAGATTCCCTAAGCCTGTCCTTATCCCTTACTTGCAAAAATGCTCATTGATGGCCCACTGAAGCAAGAGCAGCTCCTGCAGCACGCTCAAGGTGGATTTCCATTGTGTAGAAAAATTGTATATCAAGAGGTTTGCAGGCATCTTGGGTTGCCACTGAATTCCAGCCAGCTGAACACTGGCTGGGTATGATGCCTTAGAAGATCAATGAAGCCAAGGTACCAAACGAGGAACCGCTGCACCACCGGGTTGAGGATGAGTGCCAGGCAAGGCATGTGTGTAAACTTTCCCTACCGAAGGACGGACAGCAGTCATGTCTGACAACAGCTGTTGTCACACGTGACCGTTTCTGACACAAGATGGCATGGGGTCAGCCACCTCTGCGCCGGCCTCTGCAGAGCTGATGACATATCTGCCCCAATGTGTCTCCTGTCCCCCAGGTATACCCCCTGCAAAACAGCATTTTCCTGGGCCGTTGCATAGCCTCTCCGTTGCTTGGGGGAGACCGGTGGTTCTGAGGAGGAATCACCAGATGAGGCTATTGAGGAGGAAGGGGTAGAGGTGACTGAGCTCTATCAGAAGGGGGCAAACTCCACCATCTGGAATGGAGGCAGTTGTAAAGCCAGCAAACTGGCATTGAGACTCTTGGCATTGGGGTGACCGGTGAATACTTTTACTCATGTTCCACCAGTTGGGGAAGAGAAACCTGCCTGGTCAAGGATACAATTGGAGGTGGCACGGTGGGATTTGGAGACTTAGAATGTGGTTGGACCCTGTGCCACTCTGTGTAGCCCACCACACTGAAATTCACTGTAAGGTAGCACTGTACAGCACAGTAACTATCTCTCCCTGAAATTGATGTCTGCTGTTACTATCTGCTCCAACTTCAACAAAGGAAATGTTGATGGGAGAGATGACTTTATTAGGGAGCGGCCTGGCATGGTGGCCAGACTCCATTATTGGCCATACTTTGCCACTTGACCAGAGGCGTATATAGGAAATATTGCACCTA